GTTAATTGACTTTTTTGCCTTATGAGTATACGTTGCCCAGTGTTCCCCACATGGAGGTCTATTGTGTACCCCAGAGTATGGCATACATTTTAATAAGTTGAGTAACCCGAGAATTGGTTATAGATAATGGTGGAGTGATGGGTGAATAGATGTTCATCCATCGTTCCTTATTTACGTAGGTCAGTGCTCTTAATGTCTAAAGAATGCGAATAGGTATCTGAAAATCGAACAGGTTGAGCAAATACAGAATTTATGTCAATAATATTGATAATGATGCCTGCAAAGACTCTAGGATTCGAAATGTCCTAAGAGTTCCATCCCTTTTCACGATCGTAGAGGAGTTGAACAGGCCATAGGCTTACTAGATACAGGATCCAGTCCTCTGGATACCACAATGACCAATCTACCAGGCGGCAGATCTCATGTTCTCCACACTCTAAGTGTTGCTATAAGTGCTAGTATTCAAGGGCCTTACAAAATTTCGGATACCCGCATTCGGAGAAGCGTGGCCTGGGTGTTTCGCTAATAATACAAGTTACAAATGAATGCTCACCCGAATCGATGTCTTCTCCTGACATTATTTGACTCTACCCTTTGCTCTTTTTTAGTATGAGGTGGAAGATAATGGAAAGGCTAGACTCCTTGACTCCAAGCAGTTGACTTCACGTCGGCGACCTCTTCGTGGTCTCACTCTGGATGACTCCGGCCACGTCGCCTTCGCAATCTCTGACGAAAAGGTATATGCTACTAGTTTGAAGGCTTTCTGATCTGTTTTGTGTTTTCTGAGTATATTCCCTGAATTATCAAAATAGCCATGATCTCAATGTGCTGTCATAGTAAAGTGCTCGAAGACCTAACGGTTGTATGGATAAAGTTGATAGGGTTACGAATAGTGCGTGGGATGAATAATGGAAAATGCTCCTCATCACAACCACAGTACTCATCTTACCGTTTCTCTGCCTTTGTGTCTGCCTATCTGTCTCTTTTACATTTGTTAATCACTCTTCTATTCCTTCCCCTCCCCTTCTCGACTTCTTGTCACTTTGATGTTCCTCCTCCTCTCTAGGAAGCCCGAAGTCAGCTAGAGAGTTAATGATAACTATCGAAAGGTCTGCCGTTTGAAATGACTTTCGACATATTCTTCGTGCTCATTGACCTCTACACCTTTCAAAAACAGTTACTTTTTAGCTAAATCCGTTTCTCAAGATACGCTATCTTCACTATTTCTAATGTTTGAGATGGTACAATTATTTTGCGAATAATTCCTCTGATATTCGCCTATCTGTTTATTGTTTCGTTTGTAACCTGACTCTACTTAAGTGGGTTAGAATAAATTGATGTATGCGCATATTTTTGTGCCTCAGTGAGTTTCAAAAATGTTTTGGCTCACAGCATCTCAAGTTCCCGAGTGTTGTATTGATTGAGTTGTATTCCCTTTGTACTCTTAATGCCTTAGATTCGATCTTCCGATGTCCTAATTTTGAGATATCTTGAATCGCTGCCATTATTGACCAATCAAATTGCTATATATTTTTCTGCCTTTTCGAATTTCTTAGTTTTTCCGTGTTTAAAATTACATGAAAATATTTCTGCAAGGAGGGTCTATGAGGTTAATTCAAGAGAAGAATAAGGATAAGGAATGAGAACAAGTAACCTTGACGGTTACAAATCACTAAATCAACAAGGGATCACATGGTGATATGAGTAAAAGGCCACAGATTTTTCATGGTCTACTTCGTGTTTTGTGGCTTATCGAGAATCCCAATAAAACTTTCAACAAATAAATTTCAATTAAGGTTCAGTTATTATTTTTCATCTCGAGTAGTGACTGTTATTTTTCATAGGACTTCCTGAAGACTTGCTTTGCTTTTGTTCGGTGCTCAACTCTATGGTAAATACTGGACTTTCCAATTTCTATGTAATTTCGCTTATTTAAATTTCGTTGTCATTAATTTCACAAATCTCATACACCACTAGTTCTTACGATTTGGTCGTGAAGCCTCGCACACACCTATGTTTACCATTTACTCATTGTTCTCTTTATTCGCTTGTTTCGATCCATTTAAGTTGATTGATTGTAAACAATAAGCCATTTTTACTTGCACAGGTAAAATATTTCCTATTTTCGAATTTTCTCGCAAAAAATATTTCATTCACGCATCATTCATTTTAGGTGTATCGAGTGGCTTTGTATAACTGCTCGTCAACTGAGAGTTGTGGTGCTTGTTTGGCACAGCGTGATCCATTTTGTGGTTGGTGCATCACTGAGGGCATCTGCACTCACAAAACTGCATGCAGCTCCTCTCATTGGCTTTCTTATCGTGACTCTCCATCCAGGTAAATCACCCCTTGATTCTGATTGGTTAATCGCAATTTCTCCTCACTTCACGCTATTGGCCAATTTTACATATTTTCCTGTAAACCTTCTCTACGACACCTTACGTCGTGTACTTGATCATCGTTTGAAGATAGAAAACTAGACTCCCAGGTTGCTAATGTTATTAATGGGTGATCGAAAAATTTCAAATTTTAAATGGGGTATTAAAGAATCTTTTATGATTCGCCTAATGGATCACTGAGTTAATTTATGTCTACTTTGTCAGGTGCTCATTAAGCAACTGTTTAACAGTAGTGGTCAGTATTACCACTCCAATTGTTTTTTTTTCTCCTGCAAAGTGTAATCATCCTGTATGACAGCAGTTGCTATGAGTAAATTTTGGATATCCTAACTGCTTTATGGTCAAAAGTATCCTATTCTTCTCCATTTAAAGCATTTAATTTCGAGGAGAGATCATTTTGTTTAACCGTAGCTTTTTTAATCAGGAAGAAAACAGCTGATTTGAGAAAACACAAATAGGTCCGATCGGGGTGTGAAAAAGGAAGGGCTCAATAAGAGACAAAGAATGAAGCCAGATCGACAAGTTTCTAGACAATTTTTTTACCATAACATCATGAGTGGATAGAATTCATTTTTTTGTTTTTGAATGCTCAATTTACATTATTTGACTCTCAGTTTCTGAGATGTCTGAATTCTCATGATATTTAAGGTTTGTTGACAGTTTGAGCTAATTTCCTAATTAGTCATGTCCTCCAGACTTTATTCGTACTTTTTTATAGTCAGGTATGGGAGACCACCGACAGTATTCTTAACACAATATAGTTCTGCTTGTAGGAATTATTCAATTATGTTACTATATACATTGTATTTGCAGTTGCCCACAGCTCACTTCAATCAGCCCACCGAGTGCAGACATCAACCAGCCGGCTGGCAGCCTACCCCGAACTGCTATGACCTTTCGTCTAATTCCACCTCTCTTGGAAGCCCTCTCGAATACCATCGTTTGGGGTTTACAAGCAAGTTCAAGTCAATCAAGACATGTTATTTGCACTTTCCGGCGTGGAAATTCTTCCAACGATGTAGAACATCCTTGGCGTATTCGAGAAAAACTATATGCACAATCTGAAGCTAGTCTATTTCCCAGTTCTACTTATGCCTCTTGTAGTCTTCCAAGCAATTCAGACCTTCAAATTCTTGGAGCAGAGGAGGGTAACTTATAACTCCTTTTTCTTACAGCCGATACTGAACTATAGTGGTGAAGTAATTTTGCAAGGAATGTTAAGGAGCTTTGGCCTTTGACATTCGAAATTTACGCATCATTTTATCTTATTGAAATATTTGCTGCTATTTCTAAAGGCTATTTAGGAAATAGAATGTGAAAAGTGGTGTTTTGGTCATTTATACCATTAGGCTTAAATGGCAGGCGCGTTTTGATAGTTATCATTAGCCATATAGCTGACCTCGGGCTTCACAGAGAGGAGGAGGAGGAGGAATATCAAGGTGACAAAAAAGTCGAGAGGGGGGGGGGTGGACAGAATAATGATTCAAGGATGTAAAAGGGACAGACAGACACAAAGGTAGTGAAAAGATAAAATGAGTACTATGGAAGTGGTGGAATATGATATAGAATGGGGTCATGATAGTTTGAAGTGAGAAGTCAACTGCCGATTTATAGACTTCTTTTGCCGTATGAGTATACGTTGCCCAAGGTGCACCATATGGATGTAAGTCTATCTCACACTAACAGTTGTCTTAAATCTGCTCTAAGTAACCTTCATTTCAAAGTGGACAAAAAAGGTCAGATTGTTAAAATTCCAATTGTACTTTATGGGAAATTTGCTCAATCATCGGTTTTGATATAATGTTTTTTTTGTAATTGAATGACATCAAGCTGAGAACAATGACTTTTTTTACAACTTCATCGAAGTAAATTGAGTGATTTAAATTTGTGACTTGCTTCAAATAAAACTGTAGTTTAGTCGAGCTGGTTTTGAAAAACTCGAAAGTTTATCTTCTATTTACTTTTTTTGGAATTTAAATGTTCTGTTTTTTTATTTTTTAAATGTTACTTACTTTCATATATTTACTGGGATGTGTTAATTGTAACAATTTTGACAGCTAAGGAGTTTATTACTTCAAAATGCAGAAGAATCTCATAAATTATTAAACTTCAGTATTTTTTAATTTTATTTTGTTTGTCAAGTCTGGTAAGTGAAGATTTACGGCGTTTTGATTTTAGCCAATTAAAATCTGGCTCAGCGTAACTCCGCCATATTAAGTTTATCATGCAACATTTCCGAAAACAAAGTGGATGAAAGTGACTGATCAACTATAATTGGGTAAAATATTGGTGCTTCTTTGACCCCGAAATTGGTGAACTCGTGGGTGGTGGTTGCCCTTGTAACTAAAGTGCACATTTGGTTTTATTGAATGGTCTGTCTGAATCTAGGCAATGGGGTTTCACTTCAAAGGTCTCATTAGATTTTCTTTAATCTAAATTAACTCTAATATTTAAAGTTTTCATATATGTAGAAGATTGGTAAAAAATGCTTATCTAATGTTATGAAATAAAAGCATTAGAGACACCAATGATGAGTCAGGTGAGACATTTTTAAATGCCCCATGCCTCTCGGCCTTTTAATTGATTGAGGTCATGATGGCGGTTTCGCTTAGGCCACTTTAAAAGACATCTTTTTAAAAAAAGAGTGTTTCTCTAGCGTTGTATTTCCAAGAAGTAAATTTATGCATAAAAGCGTAGTTTAAAGTAACATTTATAGAAATTTTTCGTCCTTTTGTTAAGTTTTGGTCCATCATTCTCTTTCCTTTTAGTTCATTTGGAAACTTTCAATTTTGTTATTGGAATTGTTAATCTTTTCCAATGATGTTTAATGGTTGAATTCACAGTAGAATATAAACTGCATCTTTGGCCTTGAGTTATCCCACTATGCACGTTCTGAAATTTAAGTTTAACGAATCTTCATCTGAATCTCTGAATATTTATTCATATCAAATGGCAGGCGTTTTGATAGCTATCATTTGCCCTTTAGCCGACTTCGGGCTTCACAGAGAGGAGGAGGTACATCAAAGTGACAAAAAGTGGAGAGGGGGAACAGAAGAGTGATTCACAGATGTAAAAGAGACAGACACAAAGGTAGAGAAAAAGGTGAGGTGAATACTGTGGAAGGGGTCGAATATGACATCAGTGGGGTGATGGTAGTTTGAAGTGAGAAGTCAACTACCGGTTAATAGGCTTTTTTGCCGTATGAGTATACGTTGCCCAGGGTGCACCACGTAAAGGCAAATCTCTCGCTAAATCAACATCGGGACGCGACATCCAAACCTTTTTGACTTGTAGCCGATCCTCTTATTTCATTATGTTTTACTTTTCGACTTAAGATTTGGGAAGTTGAATGTTGCTGATTGCCGTTTGACTGGTTAAATGCTGTTAACATGACAGAGCTGAGACGACCCTGAGGGCCTT